CCACGATTTCTCAACTCTATTGTTTTCAAGCTTCTCTCCCCCCCCCCCCTTTTTTTTCGTTATCACCAGGTCACCACAGATACAACGAAATAAGCCGTAGAACATCCGTGAACTACGCATTACGATATATTCGGTTTCTCACTTCTTCTGGCCGATTCGAAAATCTAATATTTGCAGAAAACGAGCGTGCGAAATCTGGTTCGATGAACTGCCGGAAAGGGTGAACGTACCAATGACCCGATAAAAATGATAAGAAATGCAATTCGTAACATCAACCTGATAAGTTGAGTCATCTTTCGTCCGGATGATTCTCATGCCGCGCATTTTTCTCACACTGTCGTCCATGTATTCCATTCAGGAGAAAAGAGAGGGAAATACAGATAATTATTGTACCTTATTTACAGAGTAAATTCACTTGTTGCGATAAAAAGAAATATATATATACATATACACATATATAAAAGATAGCATGATAGAAAGAAAAAAAAAAAACGGAATTTCTCGTACGTAACCGCGATTACACATCTTTGTTCTTGACAGTCACCCATTACAGGGATCGTTTAATAACGCTGCTCTTGCCGTTAACCTCGTAAACGATGGCAACAGCGTGTCCGTAATATTACGGGAGACATGAAACTTGTTCGAACATGTTCGCGATAGACGCGTGTCGCGCGACGAGCGATAACACCTCGATAATTAAGGCGCTTTGTTGATTGAGAGAGATCTTAAACTTTGGATGTTTCTTCTTTCTTAGAGCGTTCTCGTGATCGAACGGGTGAATCAAGTAAATCATCCTCTGATTATATCGTGGATTCAATTTGAAAAAAATTAAGCATAACGCAAAAGCACTTCTCAAAATGTATAGATAATATACAATAAATTTTGTTTACGTGATCTAATTTATCATTCAATCGATGCGTGTGCCGCAGATAGTTTAGAGAACGATTAGAATTAGAATCAGACGCGTAAATGGTTTTACGCTTTCATCAGCATCTCTGGATATTAAACCAGAAGCTTTAAATCATCATAGTGATGTGGACGGGCATGCTTGTTATTACATAGACATGCATATGCACAGAATAAGGAGCCTCTGTTAGAATTCCGCAGAAGCCGACAAATGAAGATATAGTGTATTTCGCCTAGTTGCGAACACGACATAATTTATATACGCACGGCGTTATAATCTATTATCGCGTTATTATCATGTCACGGGATAAGCTCGTTCCACGGCGGACTTTAGCAAAAAACCGATTTTATGTCGCGAGGCTTTTAAATGTTTGCTTTCCTTCACCAAGTATTTTTTACTTACTGAAATTATATCGTAAAGAATTATGTCAATCCGACGAAACGATTCGAGATCCTGTCCGGTTTGTACAGTTTGAAACAAAGTAGCACAGGTTCCCGATGGCCAGCATCCACCCACGCGATCGCGGTGGTTGTTCTAAAAATATACAGTCGTAGTGCTACCGGTTTTAAATCTCGATCGCTACCGGACAGTGACCGATGTGATGCTTCATATTGAAATAAAACGATGCGACACTCGTTGCGAAAGACCAGGAAGGAAGGGTTGCTTGCCGGACATTTCTAGATCGCGAATCGTTAATCGCTAAACGTGGAGATCGTTAATCGTTGACCAGTGTCTCCATGACAGTGTGACTCCAATTACGCGGAGCTCGAAGGCAGTTATTAAGCCGATTTGCATTCATATCTAATAGATTTGGCAAGGTACGATTATGATTTTTTTCACGGCGACAGAAAATTGCAACGCCGAGAATATATTTATTAGTCTTGAAAGTCAAGTTCATATAAAATGAGTATAATATGACGTAATTTTAATTTTAATATCGATGATAGAACTTTTAATAAATTGGTGGCGATAAGAAAATTAAAGATTGATAAGAAAGTGCCGAATATATCAGATCTAAAAAAAAATTTAATTAGAAATTTCGCTATTATGATTGCATCTATATTTTTACTTTATTATTACGTTCATGAAAAGCGATTTTATTAGATATATGACTGATTATCAAAAACTGATAAGATACAGTTGTCGTAACGTATGGTATAGAAAAAAATAAAGATTAAGAACAGATTTAAACGATTTTAAATTCTACATTTGATTTATAATACATATAATGATTATTTAATAAATTGAATAACAACTTTACTTTTTGTATATTGCGATATATTTTTTTTTAATAGAAATACATTTTAACTACTTATCTATTCATTATAAAAAATACATACTTGTTAATTAAGACGTATTATAGCTCAGTCTTATCAGTTAATACTTAAAAATTCATTATTACATACATTGTGCAATATTTCGTAATATACTACTTGAGTGTTTTTTTTTCTTATTTTCTAACATCTCCTAAAACTCTTGTAAAAATTATTGCATTAAAATACTCTCCAAAGTTCTCGCAACTAAGTTTAACTTTGTTAAGCGAATCGACTTCTCGTACAATGACGGCACAATCAACTCGTCCCTCCCTAAAGTCGCCTCTTTAACTTTTACGTACATTAAAGACAATTGGCTTCGTAGAAGTGGAGTCTCTCATAACGAGCAGTTCCTGTAAGACGCGCGATCAAGTTCGCGTATCGATCCACCGCGAGAATCTCTGATTTAAGGTTCCTCCGCTGAAATTTTCGCGCGCAAAATTATCAATGACGGCATTGCACCTATTGACGCGACGCGATATCTGTTGCATGGGAGCCGATATAAGCATCGATAGCGACATCGCCATTTCGTTGAACTACGAGCAGGACGCGCACATCTCGACACACGCATCGACTCCGATTTCCACGTTCTACACAGTGGTAATGTCATCTCTCTGTAACGTCATCCTCGACGCGCCGAGATTCACCTGGCCTTTAACTCCCACATCCGATATCCAGTGACAACGTCTCTCCATACACTCCACTTCTGACATTAATCTGTTGTTCTCTCCCTATCTCTCTTTATCTATCACTTTCTCTCTCCTCATGCTTGCATGCACACGCCAAAGAGACGTCGATCGCCTATCGATTCAAGTGGTGCTCACGTTCACGCTTTCGAGATTGTTTAACACGCTTCTATTGTAACGCCGGTACGACGTTACGTTATGCATCAATGAATTCGTAGAAGAGAAGTGCATTCCGTTTTTTTTCCGTCGATTGATTAAACTTCAATCTTGTTCAAATGAAATTGCGTTTCCGTGTTTCAAGTGTTAAAATTAGATCTCTAAAGATAAAGCGAAAGAAAGAATGCGTGATACATTTTTGCGATACTCTTGATCCTTGAACGTATTAAAAATTCCTAAATTAAATTTCATTGTACAGTGCGTACAGATTAAAATTTACGTGAATTTTACGTATGATAAATAAAGCAACATTAACGATAATACAATGAAACTTTTTCTTCCTTGATCCACGTTGAATGTGTGATTCCGTTTTTTCACGCGCGTCGTGCATGCCCTCGTGCAAGCCAATATGCTCATATTTATTTATGTAGTCGCGCTCTCGTGTAGCCGGCGCACGGTGCATCGTATGCATCATGAATCAGCGCGCGCAATGGCAACGTATTGTATTCTTGTTTCTCCGTTTTCTCGCCCATTCATCGATTGTAGAAAAAAGAAAAAAAAAAGAACTTAACCGTAGCGATGCCGCCGCGAATATCGTTCGCATCGTCACAAATTATCTGAAAATTAAGCATTCGCAAGTTGTCTCGTGTTCGTTTCGCTCATCCGTTCCTAATTAATTATATAAGTATGTCCGAGCTCATTAATTCGGCGTGTTGTCATTCGAACGATAAAATTGATCTTTGACACTGCAGACCGATATTCATTATCGTTCGAGCGTCTGTTATTATTATTATTATTATCACCTATAAACGAGCGAATGATATCGAAGATGGTATCGCGTTAATATTTATCATTAATATCAAGGAAATACCGCTGACATTAGTTCATCGTTGCACGAATCAAGATTAGTATCCGTTTAAATAATATTTGGCAATATTGAAGAATTTTGTTAACGTAAAAGAACTGAATAATCAGTAACAATGGGACAATTAAAATTAGAACGGGAAACGAAGATACGTCTCGCACGAGAGTAACATTTTTTTTTTTCAGTTTTCCTGGTTTAATTTTAACGGTGGTAAAGTAAACGTTTCCGATTTGCGGCTGCACCCCCACCCCTGTGCGGAGCTCGTAGTTGGTCGCGTAAACTGCGCAGTTGCGCTCGAGTGTCGTTTTGTCGTGTCATATGTGCCTTTACGGCTCGCTCCGAGGTGCATGCGAGCGCCGTACGCTCGTGTGCGTGGCCTCTCACTCTCTCCCTCGTCGAGATCCCATTGCTACATGCTACACGTTCCGTTGTGTTCCCGAGACTGTGTCGCGCGCACCACTGAGTTGCACTTGCGTCTTCCAAGCGCGGATCGAGTCCCTCTCGTATTAACATTTACTGCACGAAAAGCCGTAGAAAAATCGAAGCCAAAAAAAAGAACCATGAAATGTTCAGGAGAGCGAAAATCATAAAGAGAAATGTGATAAAATATTTTTTACGATAGATTTTCAGAACGCTGAAAAATTTTTGATACCTAAAATTGAGATAAAAAAAAAGTAGAACGAAAGGAAAAAAAAAATCTGTTTTTATTTAATATTTTTTCATAATGTAATTAATCATATATCTCTTATTGATAGCGTAAATACGTATGTCATAGGCTAAAGATGCAATATCTCGATACATTAGAGTATTCTTCGTACGTGGATACGCCGTGGTGTATCTGATGATTGCAAAAACATGATTGCAGTAAATGTTAGCGTTCAAACGGAGCTCACTCGCAGCGCCCGAAGAGCAAGACAATGTATTGTCACGCTCCTCGCGCGTTCCCCACCCCAAAGTAAATCGGCTACCCTCACCACCAGTTTATTTCCTCGTCATAGGTTGCGCGCGCACGCACCCCCACCGTTCGACCAATCGGTCGCGCGGGTAAAACGGAGTGAGGGAAGAGCCGGTTGCTGCCGTGAGGCAGAACGTGCAGACCGTAGCTGTGAAAGCACAGAATCATTACCACGCCAGACCTCGAGGAGAACAGACGTGTTTCTCGTTTATCCTGAGCTCAGTCGAGATCTCGTGTCGCTTCTCGTATCGTATTCTCGTCTTCTCACCGCTCAAATACACGCGTGTGATATATTGCGCCAAAGTGGCCAGCGGTGTTTTACTTGCTCGTGCAATTACCGAAATTATATCTCGGTCGGTCGTAGTGCAATCCCGAAGATTTTCCAGAACACACCTCACGTGACCGTTCGCGCGAGATACTCTCGTGATCCGCGGAGCCATAGAGTGACCTGTCGACTCCTCTGTATTGTGTTACATCTTTACGAGTGACGTGAACCAACTGGTGCAGCCGTCAACCGGACAACTGCGGGGACATTGAACGCGACGATCGTCACGCGTCACCGTGCTTCGGAAATTTCTCTCAAAGAGTCACGAAAATTCTGACGAACGTGCTCCATCGACAGTGCATTCGAGCAGCCATTCAACAACCGTGACAAAGGACAAGTTTCATACGCGATCCTCAGCAGGTGATTGTCTCTCTCTGAAAGCGAAAGTGATTCTTCTTTTTTTTTTCTTTTTTTTTTCCCCTTCCTTTTTGTCTCGAGAACGTTCGATGCATGGACAGTTTCATCAGAACTTCGAGAAAAAACAGTTTAGTTTCGAGAATCGTTTAAAAGGGTAGAGTAATTAACATTTACGGAAGGTCCACAGCGTGCGCGCGCGCCACGTGCGATCCGGGATGTTGAGCGTTGAGAGCCGGTAAACTTAAACTGTTCACGTGCGGCATTTCTAACGCGTTCACAATTCTACGACTTACGAAACAAGACTAGAAGCTTCGAACAAGAGGGAGGGGGGGATCTTTGAAAAGTGGAGACGTAGATAGTGAACAGTGAACTCAACAACAGAACATTGCTTGGTTCGGTTACAGTGCATCAACTCCGGGCCAGGCGGGAGTAGCCTTACCCTGGTAACGAGCTTGGACTCGGGTTACAACTGTACGCAATTACTCCGATCCGTAGAATAGACGAGAGAGAAGACATCATGGCGATACCGTTTTTGCCCAACAACGACGAGAACACGTCGTCGGAGGAGCAGCTGATGTACCAGCTGTATGTAACCCTGCACAACGCCCTCCGGAGCAGGAACGCCCACCATCCGTCGCGAAATCGTGAGTTGTGCGCATTTTTAAATAATGTACTCTTTGTAAGCGAAATTTTTATAAACAATAGATTTCCATACCTAATCTTTTTGGTAGTAAGCGATAGAGAAGAGACAGAAAATAGAAAAAATATAGAGGAATGATTCACAGATTGTCACATGTATGAACCATGTTTTTGACCGAGCGTGCGCTCGCTCCGAGATTAATAATAAAATCATCGGAGATAATCGATAGATGATGATTGCGATAGTCTTGAAATTGATAGCGAATCTCGAAAAGAGTTCGAAAAAATATTGATATTCTCGAGTGTGAGAATAAAATTAGAGTGATTTGATTGTTTCGAATGTATTGATGTAGGACAGGATTTATCGATACGATAATTCGAAGAGTATAATCACTGAGAGAAACGAGACTAATGATAATCGTAAAAGAGGATTTACTCTTTTATTGGTATTTACGACAGCGATTGTAATGTGATAAAAGATATGATGAATTACATCATCCCTTTATATTTCTGTTAGTCGCGTTATTGTTAACAACATGCGATATTATTTGAAATAAAGCGTAGCATGTATTTTTTTTTTTTAGACTTTTTTTAGACTGTTTAGATATATCGTATTATAAAGTAGTAAGCACTTATATAATTATTATAAGAACACAAAAAAGCGAATGAAAAAGTAATAAGCGAAATGAGGAAGAAGTTATTATACGTTAGGAATTAGGAATATTATTTTTTATATTATTTTTTATATTATTTTTTATATTATATAATCAAAATTATGTGTCCAAATAAATGCTCAGTTTATAAAAACTGGAACAAAAAGTCCTTGATTTATTCATAGATCATTACGATTGTATAAGCGAAGTATTAGCTTTATTGTTAATTATTAATATTACTTAGATCCTTAAAATTATCTGATCATTGAAAACGTCTCGTTGACGATTGAGATAAGTAAGCGGAGTAAAGTCGGTCGATAACATCTCGGCTAGAATTCTGTAGTGCAACACGTGGTTGCGATGGGGAAGAATTTGGCTCAGCGTAAGAAACACGCGAAAGATCCGCGCGTGACATTTTAATTCTTGTGTTCAGAATGATTAATTTCTTACAGCGTCGCAAATAATTCATACGAGTCACTTCGAGAGAAAGGAAAACATTATGTACGTTGCGAAGATATTAACTGCACTCTTATTGTAAAATTACCATAAAAAATGCTACACTTGAAAGTAATTAATACTTGTACTCCCCATATCGTTTTTATTAAATAAATAAAATTGAAACGAGTTAATCACTATATTGAATTACATATTTATTCAATTATATTTGCAAATGTAAGATAAGTAAAATACAAGTTGTATTTTTTTCCAAGGAAGTTAATTATCAAAAATTTGGGGATTTTTTATTTTCTCTCGATATTGTACCATATTGACAAAAATGATATCATTGATTGAGGTCATTGTCCCGCCGTGAATCATCGTCGAAACATTTCGTTTGGTCCAGTCCAAGGAACGAAATCTGGTTACCTTGATTCTCAATTTTACGCAATGCCTCGAGTGTACGCCTTTGACGTCAAAAGTGATAGCGCGACAAAAGCCGCAAAACCACTGACATTCTCCGCAATATATACATATATATATATTTCTGTGTGTGTGTGTGTGTGTGTGTGTGTGTGTGTGTGTGTGTGTGTGTACACATTTTTTTTTGTATAACAATATCGCGTGATGTAACTTTCTAGCAAATGTTACATCAGTGAAAAGCAACAAGTATTATTTTTATTAATTTGACAAAATGTGTCTAAAATGTGTTTTTAATTTTGAAATAAAGACAATCGAAAGATCACAAAATTCTCATATTTTATTCGAAAAAATTTATTCGAAATAAATAAATCAATGTAGGTTTTACAATTTAATTTCAAGTAACTTCCATATTGTAAGTTACAGAAAAATTAGATAACAAAGCCTATCGGGATTCAAACTTGAAATTCTTTACTCTGGTATTAAGACTGTATATCCATAATCGCTTCATTACTCTCATAATGAAACTCATTACTATCTCATAGCTATTTCAATCTCCTATCAATATCAATATCTAATCGACCTTATCCTTCATTCGTACAATGTCATAAATATTTACGTTATTATTGACATAAATTAATTTTTCTTTATTTTTTGAAATTCTAACAATGTCTATACTTTCAACTGGAAAATATCTTCTAGTAATAATAGCTTCTAGAAAAATATAGATACGCTGTGACACACCCCATCGTAAATTGCATGGCAATGTTTCTACACTCGTAATTTTCATTTTAAAAAGTCTTTTACAAATCTATTTGATCGTGGAGAGACGAACAGGATGTTTCTCGAGAGATCGCGATGGCTCATATTCGGCGCACAGTAAAATCCAGCTTTACGAGAGTGCAGCGAGAAGAAGGAGAATGGATTGTATGCGAGTAAAACAGATGTAGTGTGGGTGTAGAGCATCGAGCAAAAGAAAGAGAAGGAGAGTATGGCAGACGATGTCCGGCCATGACCCTGCTCCGTTGGTTGTGCCTCCTTTACAGAGAAAAGAGAGGAGACCGGAGAAGCGAGAGGAGGATCTGCGACGTGCAGAGAGAGAGAAAGAGAGAGAAAGAGACCACTGGTCAGCCACAGCGCACGCAGTAAAACGCGCTATAAAACGCGATGCAACGCAGCCTCGGCCGCGACCAAGTCCGAATCTCGGATGTCGATCGTGTCGGCGCACCTCGCACTGAGAGAGAGAGAGAGAGAGAGAGAGAGATTGCAGGTATCAACCGCAAGTGCGTGACATCATCGATTGCTCTCTCTCTTTTTCTCTTTCTATCTTCCTCTCTCTTTCTCTCTCCCTTTCTCGCCAGCGTACGCCTCGCCGCTCTGTAAATCAAGTAGAAAATCCACAAGAGCCGGTACTCAATTCCCGATGAAGCCTCAGTATAAGGCGCGGAGTGATTCTGAGCGATCTTCTACCCAATAAAAACATTATTACGGCATACGCTATTGCAATATATGTAGAAAATTGCTGTCGCGCGATCGATCAATCTGCCTGAAACTATAAATCTCTGATATTGGATTCTAACAAGTGGATCAGCACTATGATCGAAGTTTTATTGATGATGAATGTAAGGAAATTTCTTTACTTCCTTCATTATTTAACCGCACTGCGGTTTAATCATTTCGATTGAAAAGTCCTTATAGAAATTGTTACAATAATATAATTTTACGTTAAAAATACATTTCGAGGTAGATACGCGTGCGGTAACGCTTACCGTTGTAACACTTCGCGGCTATTTGAACCGCGTCGTTAATGAATATCGTTGGTACAACGAATAATTTATGGAGATTTAATCTTTCGACCGTGATGGATAATGTAATCCGCGGATAAATCCCCCGCTTCACATTGTATAATATATTTTATTGCATTTTGCTCGCCGTGAATAAAGCCGTGCGTCAGGTAGAACGTAATTACCCGTGCCATGTGCAATAATCAAATCTTCAATCGTAATACATCGTTTTAATGCGAACGCACGTTGCTCTTATTCCACCATTCGCGTAATTTTCATTTACTACGCTCGACGTTACAGTCAAATTGTATCATTTGATACTTTATCGGTCGATTTCCGAATGTTGAAAGTTTAATTCAATTTAGAGATTTTTCATCCATTTTTTTCATCAACGCATAATTATGTAAAAAAAAGTTATCAAAATAAAATTATGTAAATTTTACCTTTCTCAAAAAAAAAATTATGAAATTTATTCAGATTAGAAAGAAAATTAGAACAATATCATCCAAAGACAAATAAGAAATTCAATATTCTTCAGTCGTTCAGTTTTACACGAATATAATATTGAATAAATAATAATTTCCGTAGTGCAATTGTACCGATACGTGCAATTCGAGCAACGCGAGGACTCCTTGGTCTATCTTGCGCGCGTTTAAATCACACGTTACGATGCTCGGACCCATTATTTCACGAACGGAAATAGTGCACGTTGCACGTTGCACGGGGGTCAATAACCATAGTTGCCGCGCTTTCGCGAGAGAAGATGCAGAATTGCCGCCGCGAGCACTCGCGTGGTTGCATCAAATCGGGGGTTGTTATTTATAGGAACAGCTGTGGGCATTCCCGCACCGCGCAACGCAGTCTTCTTGTAATATTTGCAGAAAACTTCCCCCTCGTCATCTCGTGCGTTCACGCGAGCAACGAACGCCTCGCGAGAGTGCGGCAATCGCGATTACGCGCTCGTCCCAAATGTATTTTAAGGCGACCACCTCCTTCGGCCCTTTTTCCTTCGGCAAAGATAGGATCGATCCGGACGGGACGTATATACTCTAATGAGACGTTTACTCGGAATTTATCACGAGTCAGATTAACTTGTTAACACGAAATGCACTTGATACGACAAAATTCAAGTATACTCATATTAGCGAGAAACACTGATTTCCGAACAGATTTCCGAAATGATTGAACGAATGATCGAACGATGTTTCGAACGAAGTGATTTTATCTTGTTTTACCCTGTCATGTCTTTTTCCCACGAATCGCTCGATAAGACGAATCAAATGATCATAATCTCTCTAATCGAAGGAGTTTGATTTCTCGGTACGAGAAAGATCAGGTGACTTGTAACGTGATACGCACTTGATACTGAACTTCATATTATGTTTCTCTCTTTCTCTCTTTCTCTTTCACGCACACACACACACACACACATATGCACATAAACGCACTCGTAAACTGTCTCATATTATCACAGTAACAACGTAACAGCTGCTCACAATTTTGGAGTAAAGACATCAAAGTCGCGCTTGAAACTATGTTCGAATATTTCCCATCAATAAATTTTATAGATATAATTAGAAATTGTTAATTATATTGTTAATAATACTATGTCACCGTAGAAAACCATCTTCGTAAGTAAGAAATCATCTTCGTCGGCGACAAGCCAAGCAGGAAAACTTCGACTATGACTTGGTTGATTTATCAAAGATATTC